CTCCTTCCTCCAACAATGGAGACCGATCTTGCTCGTGCCGCAGCCCGTTGGCTCCAACCTTTGACCATCAACGGGGCACAACAAGGCGGGTATCGTGGAGCCGTTGATCAAGTCCGCTCGAGGCAGCTCAAACACCGGACTTGCCACCGCGGGCGTCACGGTCACCACGGAGTTCACTTCGAAGGTCCGGGTTTCGCTCCTGCAAACCTAAACACGAACCACCGAGTCTCCGGGGGTAACTATGCAAGAGCTGCCTCAACTGGTGTCGCCTTGGACACCGAGCGTCGCTCCCTTGCTGCCCCATTGCCAATTGTATTTGCCGGTGGAATAATTGCGTTGACTCACGCATCAAACGGTGCTGATTGCCTATCTTGATTTTCACCACACGATTGCGTGAAGAAGTTGATGCTGCGTACTATATTTTAATATATAACTAAATTGTAATAGTGATCTGGAAACCTAAAATTCAGACCATCGAGAACCGTCAACATGACAAAAGGCACGTGGTAATACACGATCCGTGTGGAAATGATGATATTGAAGCGTATACCTGATGATAGGATGCAGTTAATTTCCCTCGGCACCCCGTGTGTTACCATTGAGTACCAATAATAATCAACGTCCTGGTCGATTATTAACAGCAATCTCGCCAAGGATCACTTGCACTGCCAGACTGGCAGTGCCAGTTGCAGCGCCATTCGCTGACAGGATAGGCGAGTGCAATAATCAAGAAGTTTACATTCGCGACACGCTCCAGCGGAATGATAGGTGCAAAGACTCCGTATCAATTGCAAAGCCTGCATGTTCATCTGCAGTGATTGGCTGCCCTGTGCCAGTCTCCCCAGCTCAGTCTCCATTCTGCAATTTGCTTTGATCTGATCACCAACCAGAATGGCCAACTTGCTCCGTGTCGTGGCCCTGTGCGCTACCGCCGCAACGTTTGCAAATGCTGCTACCCACTACGAGTACAAGACTGTCGATGTGGATTACAATTTCGACGAAAATGAGGACTCTCCGCGCAGTGTCATCATGATGATCCCGGACGGAACGGGCCCCAACGTCTTCACCTTGGCACGCACGGTGCTCGACCCGAGTCTGCAGACTCGTCTTCACATTGACCCTCATCTCATGGGCACGATCCAGACGCACTCGTCTACGAGCTACATCACGGACTCTGCGGCGGCCGCTACTGCTTACTCGACGGGTTACAAGACGTACGACTCGGCTATCGCTGTTGATACGTACGAACAGCCTTTGGGTACGGTCCTGGAAGCTGCCAAGGCTCGTGGCATGGTGACTGGTATGATCGTAACCTGCCGTGTAACCCACGCAACACCGGCATCATTTGCTGCGCACGTACTCGACCGGGACTCCGAGGACGACATCGCCGCGCAGTACGTTGCCAACAAGAAGCTGGACTTCTTGCTTGGTGGCGGCAAGAAGCACTTTAACGACTCGATGTTCGAAGATCTAAAGTCGAACGGATACACGCTGGCGAACAACTACCAGGATCTACTGGACTACCAGTCCGCCAACGCTGACACGGGTGCTCTTCGCCTGTTTGGTCTCTTCAATGATGACCACATGTTGTACGAAGTTGACCGCCTGCGTGAACTTGCTGGAAACAACTCCACGGCGCGTGAGCCTAGCCTACCCGAGATGGTGGACATTGTACTGGGTCTGCTCCGCAAGAACGAGCAGGCTAAAAAGCACGGCTACTTCGTCATGATTGAGGGTTCGCGCGTGGACCACGCTGGCCACTCGAACGATCCCGGTACTATGGCGAAGGAAGCTATCGCCTTTGATGAATCTGTCGCTGTAGTGCTCGACCACGTAGAGCAGACCCCCAACACGGCAATGTTGTCTGCTGCTGACCATGGCACTGGTGGTATCACGCTTGGACGCGGCCCCGCTTTCCCGTACGCCTGGTACCCGACGGAACTACAGCTGCAGAACATGTCGACCGAGGCCATGCAGGAACAACTCGAGGTTGTTCTTGAAGGAAGCGACTGTGCTACTGGCGCCAACGATACGTGCAAGGCTGCACTGCTCAGTTCGTCCAAGAACCTCCTTGCCAACTACACGAACGTGACGACAGTCTCAGACGAAGAAGTGGTCGAGCTGGTCACTGAAATCGCCACTGCCGTAGACGAAACGCGTGACCTGAATAACGTTATGATCGAACTGGGCCACGTGATCAGTCTGCGAGCTGCTATCGACTGGACCACCATTGGTCACGTAGGCACGGATGTGAACCTGTACTGCAAGGGTCCGATGATCTTTGAGCGCATGTGTAAGGGTGTCCACGAGAACACGTACTTGAACAAGCTGATGACGACGTTCTTGGGTCTGGAACACCAGCAGGAGCTGGAGACGATGAAGCACCGCAACATTTCGGTGCTGGAGAAACCGCTCAATTTTTGAGAAGCGTACGGCTGTGAGTGCTATACGTAATGAAGTCGTAGTGAATAAGCTTGCATGCTGCCAGCTGCAAAAAGTTGATTGAATTTATCGTACGGGAAATATAGAGCCTATGTTTTCGAAAAGGAGGGGGTGAAACAACTTACAAATCTCACGAGAGTTTAAATGAAATCGACGACCCCGCATAAAACATGTAGGTG